AATGTCCGAAAAGCAAATCTGGTAAAGCCAACTCTGAACGGTTCAGAGCTCAAAAAGTACAGACCATATCATATCTTCAAGGACCCAGTCTCTATCATATATCTCAATCATGAGGAACAGAAAAGACTCATGTGGGTAGAAGACATTCACAAATACTGTGATGGGACTCTGAAGATCATCCAGACCAAGCTGCAAGAGATCAAAGAGAATATAGATCCAAGACTTGCGGACGCCAGCGAGGAAGAGCTCCTAGTATACGAGAAGGTGTGGATCATCCTAAAGCCCATCAACGAGCAACTTGAAAAGAGAAGAATGCTGAGACAGTATGAGCATGCGCTAAATTTCAGAAAGCATTACTTCAGATCTCAAAAATAAATGCAAGACGGCACTTGATCACAAAGGGGGAGATTGTTGAAGACTATTTTATTGTGATTCAAGTTTGTCTGTTTTGTCTGTAATAATTTAGATGTTTACTATTTCTGTTCTGCACTGATTAAATATATCTGTTAGAATAGTATTCAATATGGGCCAAGTGTTAGGCCCATACTTAGGCAAGAAGCCTTTTTACGCATACCTGAGCCTCGCCTATAAAAAGGGGCGGAGGACTCAGGTTTGCGGTTAACTTTCGTATCTGCTCAAAATAGCCTTAGCGCTTATCATTCTTGTACGAAAGGTTCACGGTATATCAGAGAAGGTTTTCACTTGATCTTTCTGTGTTCATCTTTGTTGATAATCTTTCATCTGTATGCAATATTATACTGTTGTTATAGAAAACAGGGACTAACAATCTTAATTAGTGTGCCCGGCCGAAATGGGAGAAAAAACAGGGACGGAGGGAGTAAAAGATAGCAATACCCCCAAAGTGTTGCTCATATATACACTTTTGCATAAAGATTCCAAACTCATTTGTAATAAATCAGAATATAAATACGAATACAAATCATTTTTTTGTTCAAATGTCTTTCAAATACAATACAAATAATTATGCATTCAATTTGAAGAATAAAATTAGAGTTGTTTGACTTTGATATATAAAATTATCTACTTATTTCACATATTATAAGTATGATTTCTAATATGTTTGTGTTAATGTTTATTTCAAAATGTTTGAAATAGATTTATACGGAGTATTTATTAATCATAGAATTCACTTTAGTATATTGTGCACCATCTAAAAATGCATTGGTCCATTAAATTTAAATTCTAAAAACACATATTAAGTCATAGCATGCATTTACAACATAAAAAATAAGGAGTATAAGAAAAGTTATTTTAGAGTGATACGTAGTAATATTTAACCTATGCTCAAATCGATTCGATATTCGTATATGATTCGTTAATTATTCGTATTGTTAAACAAATACAAATACAAATCGAAGTTAATATTCGTTTCATATTTGAATTCGAATTCGTATTCGAAAAAATTAAACAAATACAAATACAAAATCTCATTATTCGACTCGATTCGGTTCGTTTACAACCCTACGGGTACCCGCCCCGTTTGATAGTATTTTCCCCCATAACCGCTCTGTTACCCGTCGGGTATTTTTTATCCGCGGGTAACAGTTTTCCCCGCGGGTAACCGTTTTATTAAAAGATAATTTATTTCTTCAAAATTATTACAAATCCTAAAATCATGATTAACTACTTATAATTGACCACTAAATTTAAAAAATCAAAATTAAATAGCACCACATATAAAGCTTTTTAAAACATTACAAAAAATTACAATCGTTTGAACCTAATATTCACAAATTATATATGTCTAGATTCAAAATTATGAATCTCTTACCACATCAACATTAAAAGATTAAGTCTTGTCTCCATAGTAAAATCTAAATATGAATCACAAAAACATTAAACTTCCAAAAAATCAATGATCATACCCCACCAGTAACATAATGAAAATGGGTAGTTTTTTTCCTAAAATATTACTAATAAAAAATATATGGACATAAATGTGACTATAAGACTATAAGTTACCATGAGTGAGTGTTATAGTCACTACGATATAAGTATATAACATTTGAATAAAATAATAAACACTAAAGTTACTAGTCGTATTTTTGTCCACAATTTTTAGTTTGATTATAGATTTGGAATTAGGGATGGGCGCGGTCCGGAACGGTCCGGTAAATTACTAAAACCCGTAATGTATCCGTGAGGTTTTAACAGTCCGGTACGGTCCGGTACGGTCCGGTTCAAAGGATGGAACCATTCGGTACCATGTCGTTTCGGAACGGTACAAAACGGTATGGTACAATGCCAAACACATGCTAAAAAAATTGGACAAATTTTGCAATTAGTAGATATCATCACACCAACCAACTCACTTGAAATGTTGATATAAATACAAAAAATTGCATGCGTAGTACTCAAATTTACAAATACACAAATAGTGCAACACAACAAAGAAAAATATAGCAAAATGATGACACACAAGATATATAGCATCTTTAATTTACCAAGTTCATGTGAACATAAAAAAAGAATATCATCAAATTGTTGAATATAATAGAAAACTTCAACGTTCTTCTTCTTTGTTCTAGGTTAAATATTATTCCATATATAATTCTAATTTAAATTATAGTTGAACCTTGAGAGCTAAGATTTAAACCATATTAATTAAGTCGTAAAATTCCACAAACATGATACAACAAAAAGTCATATACAATACATTACTAGAAACTAATAGTCATTAATCTTTTTTAAAACTTTAACATTCTTTCAATACATTCCAAAATATAACATAGATTATCTAAAAAGAAAAAATAACAATATATATACATATATATATAAACACACACATTTAGCTATTTTAGGGATGCATGAACACATACTTGGGCTATAAAAATTGTTGGTCTAGAAAAGAGACTTATTGATATGGAAAAAATATAAAAAATCAACATGCATTATTTTTTAGCGGTCCGGTCCGGTATTTTTCGGTTCTCAAAACCTAGGACCGGTCCCATACCCGTTTAAAACGGTACGGTTTCGGTACGGGATGAAAATCTATAGAACCGTTTAAATACCCGGTATTCGGTTCGGTACCATTACGTGACGGTTCGGTACCGGTTCGGTTCGGGTTTTATGCCCACCCCTATTTGGAATTATTTCTAAAAAATGTACTTCTAATACTATGATTTAGGCATTCTTGTAGTTACTGTTTTAGGAACCTCATAATTTAAATTTAAAACTTGATATAAATTATAGCAACCAATCAAAAATAATCTAATCATTCAATACACTTCTACAAAATTATTAACAATTATATAAATTAAAGCAGTCTAGAATAATGTTTCCCAGTATTTGGACTTTAAATTCATACGTGAGTTTTATGAAAGTTATTGGGTGAAAAATTAAGAGAGTCACAATGTGAAAATTGTGTACAGAAAATCACGAAAATTAAATAATCCATATGTGAAGAAAATAAATCTCGTAGAAGTCAACAAAGGAAGGATGATGAATGATATTGAAAATTAAAAATCTAAAATATTGAAATTTGAGCACCAACTCCTCAGAAATGTAAAGGATATCCGATTAGTTGAATATTTTTCAAAAAATTAGAGGGAATATGTGTCATCTACTAATGTACTACTATTCATATATACTTGATATATTAAATAATAAATATATAAACTATTAAAATATGTAAGATAATTGTGCGGGTCGGGTAATGGTGCGGGTAATCGTATCCAAATTAAACGGGGCGGGTATTTTAAACCGGTATGTATAATAATTAAAATTTCATATAAGAAGTATTTCGTACTAATATATTCTAATTAATTCCTTAAACAAGACACGGAGGTCTTCTTCTCTTTAGAGAGAAACCCTAGTGGCCGTCTCCCCTCTTTGTGGGGGTAGATATTTTCCGTCGCTTCTATCAATATGGGATTGGAGCGGCAGATTATATTGATTTTAAGTGTTCTAAAGCTTGGGATTGCAACTACGTCGAAGGAGATAGCGTTGGAGGACGAACGAAGTGCGGTTGAGAGGTTGTATCGAGGCTGGATCATGAAGCCTTGGTCAGCCATTCTGGCGGTGGTGGAGTTGGTATACACCCATATTGCAAGAGTTCGTTTGTGACACCGCACCCGAACATCCTGGAAATTTAAAATTTAATTTCAAAGCTTATGTATTGAATTTCTCTATTTTCGAACAATTGTAAAATGATTAAAGTTTTACGGAACGTATGATTAATCATATTACTATTTGAGCTCATATAAGGGTAATGGACTTCTAAATAATTAATTAGGTCATATTATTGATATTGGAGCCCAACGTCCTTAAATAAAGATATACAACCCCTCGATACAATGTAAGTGCGGTCGGGCAGCCCAAATGTTATTTTGGGCCTAACCTGCTAAAAATAGTAATTATTCAAGAATGGCGTCCTATACCCATTGGAGGGTGACCCACACGGTTGGTAGCCCAGATGCATAAATATTAATATCATAATTGAATGATAGAATGATTGGAGAAGAATACAAATGCCTCTAGTCCCATCTTTGACATTATTAGGCTAAATAATGGGAGTATGGTTTTCTTTTGTAATTATACATCAAATAAATTTTTGGGACCATCCTACACATATTAGAGGCCAATAATATGATGTAGAAGGTTGACTTGATCTAAATAAATTGGGGAGAGTACAAAAGTACATCTTATGACAAAGGACAAAAATGATAGGACTCATCTTTCAACTTTCGGATGTATTGGTTGATATTTTGCTCCCAAATTAATTGGGGGAAATGAGAGTACGCCCCACACCTTCCTAGCACCTTCAAAACAGGTAGAATAAGTTAGAACACATAAATGGGGCGGACCTCTTGAGTTGAGAGCTCAAACAATACAAAAGAGAAATAAAAGAGGAGGATCATCCCATGTTTGATTGGAATCAAACACCCAACCTTTTATTTTTGGGAGCCACACGTTTAGATAACGTTTTGAGAGCTTCCAAATACCTTCCCCTCACCCTTCATTCGAACTCAAAAGATAAGGGGAAGAGAAGAGCCGCACAAAACCAAAGAAAGCAAGAGAAATGAAAACTGTCCGCAGGGTAAAAATCCAGTGCGTAGTCCTTCTTGTTCGACTCATATCTTGAATTTCACTCATCCAATTAAAGCGTGTGAGGTGCCCTCTGAAAGATATCAAGAATAGGAATCCATAAGCGTGCGGTTTGAAGGAAACGGAGCAGTTTAAGGCTTCCAAATCGTCCGAACACAACGAAACCTGGCAGAATACTTTTGTGGTATTCAAAGTAAGTTTGAATCCAAAACCTTCCTTTCCATTGCCTAAATCCTATGAATGATTGAAGAACTATTATACACTGGTTTAAGTGTATAAAATTTTATTATATAGTAACTTTAATTGTTGGAAAGGTTAGATACTAACCTAGACAAAACCTTGAAAGGTTAGGGAACGAATTCGCCGGAAAACACCCGTTCTAGGAACTGTTTTCGTGTCGACGTTTAGGGGTTGAGCTAGCACTGTTAGGAGGCTGCTTAACACTCATATTTAATCAAGGAATCAGTTCTTAATCCACATTGGCCGAAGCTTTGACCATTGGACAAGAAGGAGAAATTTAAAGCTCATTTAAGGTGAGGATGACCGACTATATTGCTTATAATTAGTGAGTTAATTTCATAAGATTGCCTAAAGTATTAATTGTGATTTTCATGGATCATTAATGATTAATAATGCCTAAATGAAAATACTATTGCATATGAATAAATGAAGCATGATATACAAATTTGGAGGAAATTGTGTATGATTGTGTATTATGAATATGAGGGCATGATAATGAAATAAATTGTGAAATATTGTGATAAGATATGCTTTTACTTCATGTAGAAAATTCATGAATGGATAAAAGTGATATTGTGACATTAAGATTATTAGATCATATTTGAAAAGGAAAATCACTTGAAATGAGCAATATGATCGTTAATTCGAACTTGGATGTTCTAAGATTATTTGACTAGTATTGAGATACTAGTTGGAATGTTAGCATGAAAATTGATAGAATAAATCCTAAGGGCTTGGATTATGAAAGATGTACCATAAGTAGTCCTATGAGATACCTTAAGGTAGGAATGTATAAATGCTAAGTTAAGCTAGGAGTAGGCCTCAAAGACTACTCAATATCAAGTGATTCTAGGCATAGAAGTTGCTTAGAAATCTTAATTATATGATTAGAGGAAGCCTCTAACATATGGAAAGGTGACTGATGATCCCAATATTTAACAATCAAACAATCGTAAGCAAGTAACAACGAAGAAGCAGATGGAATGATGTCGATATTATACACGAATCTGGTATACCGTATGAAACCCCGCTGCTCTCCCTCTAGAAGGAGAGTAGCGGAAACCCTTCTCTCTATATCGCCTCTATTCTCTAAAGCCTCTAGCAATAGTTAGGGTTCCCGTAAGTTAGCCTCCTTTTATAGGAGAAGTTAGCTAACTTACGGGTTACAAGGAAGCCCCCGGGCTGATACACATTTGTGGCCCGTATTACACGTTTAATTAATAACTACACAAATACAAAGATAACTAACTAGATTGAACACCATAAAATATTCCCAAAAATCTCCCCCTTGGTGATCAATCGTGTTAAATCAACATTGCAGCGCATATATCTTTGTCTTTGTTGTTATTCAGTTGCCTTTTCATTTGAACTTGACTTCTTGAGAAAGCTTCATGAAGAAATCCTCGCAATCTCCCCTTTGATGTTTTCTTAGCAAATTGATCTTTGATGTTGGGGGTTGAGGAATCTTTTTCTTGAAAAACTTTGCCTTCCAGAAGTAGCTCTTGATAAGCTTGGATGAAGTCCGGTGGCGCCTCTAGAATGATAGTTCTGATGAGTTTGAGACGCCCATGGAATTCATCTTCAGAGTTTGATTATCTGACCTTTGTCTCCTCCACAATGTAGTTTTTTTACTATTTGAAATGAATGCTTTTGAGGAGAACTTGTCGGTGGCATAGCGGAACATAATGATGGTTGACTTGTGAGCATAGCTGACCATTTGAGTTGCAAAGATAGTAGAGAGAGTTTTGGAGGAGAGAAGTGTCCCAGAATGATTTTTTTACAGTTAACGGCATGTGGACCACTCTCCCCCTCATGAAGATCCGATGACTCGGGGCGTCATGCCTTTATTCTTTTATTCCGCGGAAATAAAACATGAAAAACAAGCAGAATGTAAAGAAGATAACGTATCCCCCCGGGGTCGTGTAGACGCCTGTTATCATCACTATAGAGTTAAACTCTGATGTGATGGCCTGAAAATGATGGTTATTCTTATGTTGCATCAGCAGGACTTCCTTCCAATCATTGGTCGACATCTGTAATAGATGAGCCCTATGGAAGTTCTCGCAGGTCTTGAAGACCTGCAACTGACTCAAAAAGTGCGTCTGTGTCCTAGAAAATTTCAAAACATTTGGGAGTGAGTAACTAGACACGACGTGATCAATGAAAATTCAGTGGCATGGGGCTGAGGCCACTGTAGTCAGTATTACTTGTCTCGGAAGGAGACAGTAATGAGAGATGCGGTTCCCCGTGAAATATGATTAAACACATGTCTGTTGGGAGACAAATGAGTGGTCTAGGGTAGGGTTGTGCATGCGCCGTTTGGACAAAATGCAGCGACTTCTACCCGGGATCTGAATAAATTCAGTCCTGAACCTATGGGGATAGTCCAGAGTATTTGAGTGGCTAGGAATAAATGTTCAATTCATAGTAGGCAATTGAGGTAGCAGACTCATCATTGATTATTGTATTCATGCTCACTTGAGCCTTCTGCTTCCTAACGCTCATAATGTTCACTTACTCACTCGCTCACTCACTCACTTACGCTCTGCTTTGTCCCTTGGGTAGCCTTAGTTGGGTTTACTAAGCCATAGGGACATGTTCTCTCATTACTCTCTTGATTGTCTCTCTGTACTCCCCCTCAACTGGAGCACTCGGTATGCTTTGTCGTTGTTAGGCGTCGGGGAGGTGATCATTGAAAACTCCCCCTAAAATGCTGCATCCTTTGAGAGATTCCTTGCTTTGTCGGTGAATGGCACCAGGAGGAATTAACTCAAACTCCCCCTCAGAATGTGCAAGGTTTGATTGCTCACAGCTTGTCATCCCCGCCATGTGTGTGGAGCAATCTGAACAAGTACCACACATGACGGTTTCCCTGAGCTCACCATGTAGAATTTCAGCATATTGATGATCACATAATGTTGATGAGTCAGGGGAAGCTTCAGTGGTTGATTGTTGATTGTTGTAGAATGACCGTTGACGCGGGGTTGATTGAATTATCTACGATTTTCGGACCTTTACATTGAAGCTTAGACCCTATTCGACCTTTGGTTCGACTTTGGAAGAATTTGATCAGATTTGCCTAAAATGACCTCTTGACATCGGTGATTTACAAAGTTTGTCGGAAAACCATCGTTTTGACCCTCAAAGACTGCAAGTGAGGGCGCGTGATAATGGGTTCTGGGGCATAGCCAGATAATTAATGTAGATCTTTTCGTTATCTTTCCAACAAAAAAAGGTTTGCTAAAATCGGATCACCGAGTCAAAAGTTATGGCCAAAACAGTGAAGACATGCAAAAACTTTGAATTTTGAGGAAATTCTTCAAAGTTGAGGTTCCCAACAGTGACTAGAGGAAGCCTCTAGCACAACGTAAGATGACTAGAGTCAACCTCTAGCATAATGAAGAGTGATCAGAGGAAGCCTCTAACACGACGGGAAATGACTAGAGGAAGCCTCTAGCATAATGTAGAGTGACTAGAGGAAACCTCTAGCACGAAATGGGGTGACTAGAGTCAGCCTCTAGCACGACGGAATGATATCGGTGAGTGTGACTATACTATGGTGAAATGACGTAATAACGTAAGCATGGGCCCACGGGCCGACTACTTGACCTTATATATAAGGTAAGTAGGTTTTGAATAGGGTAACCGAGGGTTACGGACTATAATATAGTATCACCCTAGATTGAGGGCCTTAGAAATTGAAACATTGATTATATACAGTGCAGTTGTCATTGTACTTTTCAAATGCTTCAAAGTACTGACCTCCCCTTCACGGGGGGAGGCCACCTCACAGTTTCAGGTAGAACTTGAAGGTTGCTACCACGGTACCACCGCCCGTTGCTTCGGGGAGATCAAAGGAAGATGACTTGGTTCGTGCTTCTTCCGTTTCTGTTTTGAAAACAATATGAAAAATGAATTTGATAACCATGAGCATAAGAAGTTTTTAACTTATGGAACTTTTGGTACTTGAGTTGCAAAGTCTCTAATTGTTAAGATGGTACCCTTAACAATTGGTATGACGGTGATTTGAGCCAAGAGATGTTTTTAAGTGCCTACCCGTCAATTGACATTTGATACGAGTCTAATGACTCATTCTCAATTTCTTTCAGAACTGGAACATACCGGGAAAGTAACTAGGAGGAACCCAACTAGCCGGGCATCGAGAGGGCTTCTAGAGTGTCCAGGGGACAGGACCGCGAAGGCCAATCTCAGACCATGAGTGACGGTCATGTTGAAACCATAAATGAGTCATACGAGTTCGAGGAGGATTCAACCTACCAACCGGGAATTGAGCCGGTTGAAACCCCATATGATGGGGAAGATGATGACATTAGTGAAGAGAGCGATGATAATGACACTCTCGAGAGGATCGAGGAATTGCTTCGGCAATACCAACTAGACCGCCAAAGGCGCCGGGCAAGGCGTACTTCGGGAGGGCCTTCGAGAAGAGGAAGCCGTGTTGGCCCTATGGGACATGAGGAACCCCTAGGAGGAAGGGGTGTCGAGGTCCCAATAATAAGGATCTCGAAATACCTAAAAGAAGCGAGGGAGTTGGGGTGCAAACCGTTCGATAGAACGGGAGACATCTCCATTGCGGCTGAATGGATAAAAAGATTCAACGAGGCGGCCCTTGACATGCAGCTGCCGCCAAACATGAAAATGAGAGTAGCAACGAGGTTGCTAGAAGGCATGGCGTCCACGTGGTGGGACGGAGTTAAAGGGAAGTACGGTGAGACCGTCACTTGGGAGAACTTCCGACAAGAGTTCTTTAACCAATACTACTCTGACTTCCGACAAGAGTTCTTTAACCAATACTACTCCGACTTTGTGGAAAGATTTTATTTCAGTATTATTTTCTCTTTACTTGCAAATGTTTTCGTTTCAGTCCGAGTAGATTTGGTTTGAATGTTTGGATTTTTGGAGTTCTTTTGATAGGAAGAGTTTCGGTCCCATTCATTTTAGGCCTAAATTTGCTTGTTTCAGGTTTAGCGAGTCATGTTGCTTTGTATGAGGTGACTGACTCTAAGTTTACTCCTAGGGTTCACGATTGGATCTGTAATATCTGTCTGAAGATTGTGTTGTATGTGTTTTTGATTTTAATATAACGGCCGCTCTTCTATGATAAAAAAACTATTCTATTGTATATTTACTTATTTTTGGGGGAGAATTATGGAAACATTACTAAAACATGTGCGGTTTGCCATAATATGACTAGAAAACTACATTTACACTTATTTGACTACTATTGAATGTATGCGCTTACATTTTTGTTTTAATTTCACATTAAAAGATTAATGGATGATCAAGCACGGGTAATAGAATAGGAATAAAACTTCACATAGTCATATATTAGGAAAAACATCACTTTTTAGGAAAAACATCCCTTATTAGGAAAATCATAATCCTGGACTATCTTTTCTCTTGCTAATTTTCAATCAGTTTCCCGTTTGTTGTTTAATCACTTTATTTCTTATAAGAAGTTGTATAATAATAATTGATCCTACACCGGTCAGGTATGGATTTGACCGGTGACTTATAAGCAAGGTGCTTCCTTCTAATCGATTGATCTTTTAAGAGCACCCACTATGGTGGGTTAAGTTGGATCAAAAAGCAAAAATGGTGGGAGTTGACCAACACTATGATAGCTCAAAAAGTGATCAGTCAAGTTGCTAGCCCACATATGGAATCTGACAATTTTGTTTTCAATTTAGCCAAGTGGCTTGTTTTGTCCTTGAAAGTAAGCGTACGAGTGGAGCAAATGCAAGAGTGGAGGAATTCTCCTCCCAATTTTCTAACCACAAATCCCACCAACTTTTAATTTAATATTTTATGCACTAAATTAATTTATTTTAACAAAAAAAATCATACCAAAAAATCAAATTTTTTTTCCTTCTATAAACAGACACCAATGAAGGATATGTTTAATCACTTCGAAATTTACCACTTCTTCCCCTCTTGCATATGATTTTATCTGTTTTAGAATTTTTTTCTTCCTGAAAATGGATCCAAACTGTTTTGGATTATGTTGTTAATTTTTTTAACGATTAGAATATATAAATAATTACATGTAAGACCATTATTAAATAAATTGTAAAATAATATTATACGTCAAATATGAATTATGGGTGTAACAAATTTTTTAAAACACTTGTTTATTTATGCACAATAAATAATTATAGTGGGTCAAATGTGGATTGTGTGTTACTTTTTCAAATTAAATAAATTAATAAATGTGAGATATATATAAAATAAGGAGAGAGAGTGTAAAAATTTTAAGTGACCTAGGTCACCGTAGTAGGGGGAAAAAGTGACAGATTAGATGGGATTAAGTTTTTGGAAGGAAGTGATGTGGAAGAGAGAGGATGGGGTCAAAACCCACCACCATTGTGGATGCTCTAAGAGTGAATTTTACACCTACACGTATGACGTTAGTATAGGCCTAGTATAAGAGAACCCACTATGGTGGGTTAAGTTGGATCAAAAAGTAAAAATGATGGGAGTTGACCCCACTATGGTAGCTCAAAAAGTGATCGATCAAGTTTCTAGCTCGCATATGGAATCTGACAATTTTGTTTTCAATTTAGCCAAGTGGCTTGTTTTGTCCTTGAAAGTAAGCGTACGAGTGGAGCAAATGCAAGAGTGGAGGAATTCTCTTACCAATTTTCTAACCACAAATCCCAGCAACTTTTAATTTAATATTTTATGAACTAAATTAATTTATTTTAACAAAAAAAATCATACCAAAAAATCAGAGCTCGGATACCTTTCCCGCTCAACCATCGAGATTACCAACATACATGGATAATAGAGCTCGAATCCGTGAGAGGAATATACACACCGCACTAATAAATGACTTGATTGAGCACATTTGGCAGAAATTCAGTGGTGAATGGAATGACATTTAATAATTTACACATCATGTAAACGTTTTTACTTTTCTATTCGCATGTCTTCGATTTTATGATGAATTGAACTTGTACTGTTTTGGATTATGTTGTTAATTTTTTTAACGATTAGAATATATAAATAATTACACGTAAGACCATTATTAAATAAATTGTAAAATAATATTATGCGTCAAATATGAAATATGGGTGTAACAATTTGATGGATAAGTGTACCCAGGGGTATCTATCCGAGGGGTTACTGCGGGGAATAACTAGAGAGAAGTCAGAGCAAAAGTAAGAGAGAGACTATATATTGCTGAGAATGCGTTGAGTGTATTGAGCCTGAATTACAAATGGGGAAAGAGTGCTATTTATAGTAGTAATAAATGTCGGATAGGGACACGTGTCATCATTCTGGTGGTCGAGGGGTCACCTCAGCGGGGTGGCACTGGCACTCGCATGTGGCCGCATTAAATGTTGTGGTTGGATGTGACGTTTGTACTTGGTACGTTGATCCGGCGCATGTGGGTGGGAGATTCTGTCGAGGAGATGCCTTCGGCCGTAGATGATTGGCCGAAGGCTCTTCATACCGAGGGCTCTAGGTGTCGAGGGCTACCGTTTCGCTGCTTTCTCCCGGACACTCTGAGTACTTTAAAGAAGTTGTATTGTGCGTTTATAAGCCTTCGTCCAAAGGTCCGAAGGCACACCAGTGTTCGTCGCGGGTTTTTTGGCACTTGGGGCGCCGTAATTTGGGCCTGCCATGCTTCCTGGGCCTGTTGGGCCTTCGCTACAGTAGTGGGAGTCTATGGGCCGGGGGTTCCTGGGCCATATACTCCATCAGGAGTCCCTCACTCCTTTTGCCGAAAGGTACTTGAGGGAAAAGGAGTAATTTGTGCTTGTCCTCTGCCGTTTTTCCATTGTAGCTTGTAAAGTTGTGAGGAGTTCTCTGTTTGAAAGTTTTTGCCGAAGGTAGTCCCTCAGTCCCCCACATTTTGGGACTCGAAGAGTTGTGTTGCTACTTTGGGGAGTTTTTGATATTTTGAGATTTTCCCGAAGGGGTTCTCCAGTCCCCCACTCCTTGAGGCACATGTAATGTGGTGAAGAGGAGTAGAGTAATGCCCGTTGTTATCACGTTGCTGGAGGCCAACGCTTTTCGTTTCATTTTGGGGGATGCCTCGTTAAAAACCTCATTAGAAAAAACCCTGTGGGAAAAAATTCTAATGAGGGAAGAAGAGTGCACCGAATTCCCCCAATGATGAATCGAAAAGGTGAAACCTTGTTTCAAAATGGATGACAATATTGTTGTCGAGGGTTATCTTCGTCTGAGGGCGTGTGTGTTGATTTGGCGAAGGCACTTTGTTAATATCCCGGGGGATGCCGAAGGGGAGTCCCTCAATCCATGGGGTTGAGGGCGTGATGAAGGTAAGTGGTAGTGTTGCATTGCCGGGGGGATTCTCTACCTGTTGACAAGTTGGGGATGAGGGCACCTGGGGGTCCCGTTGTTGTATGTTGAAGGTTGTCCACCCAAGAGGGGCTTTAAATTTGATGTCCCCGAGGGGTCTCCTTATTGCGTGGCCGGGAATAGTTGGTGAAGGTTCCCAAGGGGTTTAACCGTTGTTAAGCCGTGGGTTCCTGAAGGAGAGAGCCCGAAGACACTCGTGATGTTGCATGAGGGGTACCGGCCGGGGGCACCCCTGTGTTTTCAAAATATAGCCGTTGAGATATGACCGTTGGAAGCGGAGTCCACGTGGCGTGTGCTCGTTGGCTGCCTGTGGGCGGGCGTCACCGATTGGGCAACTCGACGGTTCGTAATGATGATTTTTCCATCAGGGGCCCAATTTCCGGACCAAGCCCGGATTTGGGTGCCTATAAATACCCCAAGGCCAGGGGCCGTTCTCCTTGTGCGATCATTGTAGCGAAGCTCTGGCAATTTGATTTCTAGAGAGAGAAAATCCCCCTTAGACAAAATCAAAGCTCCCCAAGGTCAGTTGTTCCCTTTGTTCTTTGTTTTCTCAGTGAGTTTAGCTTTTGTGGCCTTTAGATCTAGCGTTAGCGGTCCTTAGGGAACTTCCTTCTTCTGAACCCTTCGACTTCTAGTTCTTAGAAAATGTCTTCGCAAAGCGATTCCCAAGATATTTCGAGGGAGCATTCAGCCGAGACCGAGAGCATATCCGAGGTGGAGTCTTCCAGCGAGAACCCCTCGGCCGGAAACGATTCGGCGGTAGCTGAGGAGGTACAAGACAACCTCCGGGTAGAAATGGAAGCCGAAGACTTCGAGCAAGTAAATGAGGACGAGGAGCTGGCCCTCACCGTTCAAGTTGCTGAGGAGGAGGAGGAAAAGGAGAGGCGAAAGGTTACCGTTGCCGTCCCCCCCCCCCCCGCACAACGTTGGAGAAGCCAGCAGCTCCCGGCCACTCAACGCAGAACTCCTTAGGGTGGCTCCGGGAACGAAGGCCAAGAAGAAGGCGGCGGGGGGGGGGGGGGGGGGGGCAAGAACAAAGGCGCTGCAGACCAAGGGAAACCCGTCGGTATTCCCGAGGGGTATTCGTTCCTGAACACCGAAGCCCTTGAGTTGAGGTCGAGGGCTGATAAAGCGGAGTGCTACGTGACGCAGCTGCACGTGGGGCCCTCGGCGACTGTGGTTGTGCCGGGGCCTGATGACGTACTATCCCGGGCTCCCGAGGGGTGTTTTGCGGTGCATATCCTCTCGGTATCGATGGGGCTTCGATTCTCTATGCATCCGTTCCTCCTTGAGTACCTCAGATATGTTGGCTTAGCTCCCAGCCAACTCACCCCAAACAACCACTCCTACATCACCGGCTTCTTGCAACTCTGTCGTGACCGGGGAGTAGCCCCCAGCCTCGATCTCTTCTTTCAGAGTTTCAACCTCTGCCGGGGAGGTCATACAAATTCCGAGGGGTTCGCAAACCTTCAGCAGTTTGCCATGTGGAGGCTATTTGATGACGTACCCTCATCCCATAAGGGTTGCAAAGATCGCTTCTGCTATGTCAGGATGAAGGAAAACCCGTTCCCGGGGGAGTTGCGGAACTATTTCTGGCGGCATCCGAAGGTGGAGGGTGCTGCCCTCGAGAAAGACAGAAGGAAGATCTCGTCCATCCCAGTGGGTTGCAACAAGCACGTGTCAATCAAGGAACTGACCCTCGATGATGATCTACACAACCTCGGCTTCCGGCGTTACCGTTTCTTGGGGGAACGGAATGAGAAGTATCCCATCTGTGATCGAGTGTTCGAGGGCACATGAGGTGGTTCCCTAAGGCTTCCCTTGTTGTACTTAGGAATATTTTGTACTTCGTTTCTGCTCTTGTATTTGTACCCCTCGGACTTACAGTTTTTGTTGTTTTGTAGGTGTTACAATGAATGTGAAGGGCTTCGCTGGTGTGAAGAAGAAAGCGGCCAAAGATCCAAAGTAGAATCCTGTCAATGCTTTTTTCAAGAAGGCCGAGGGTCCGTTGATGCCCCCTACCGCTGATGCTGGTGCAGCCGCCGCTAAGAGTAAGGCGACAGGGCAAGGACGTTGCCCCCGTTGGCAAAAAATCGAAGAAGGGGGATGCCGGGAGGAAAGATCCCCTAGTCCTGATCATTGACGGGCAATCGGCCTCCGACCCTCCGGTCATGGTAGTGATGGCCCCTGCCCATCCCCCTTCGGCACAGCAGGGTGAGGGGGATTTGTCCCGGGAGGATATTCAGTTCTCCCTCATAAAGGGGACTGCCATAGTGCATGGCACTGTGGATCCAAAGGAGTTCCTTCGGGGCGCTACTCCTTCTCTGGACAAGGCATCTCTCAGCAGGCTCGAGGATGATGCCCTCGATAATAAAATCCTTCGGTCCTCACTAACTGTAAGTTTTTCCTGCCTTCGACTCCTTTGCTAGTTTATCTAGGGGTCTTTTGCACAGTAGCCTAACTTTACTACTTGTTTGTTCGCAGGCTTGCATTGCCCTCAGCAAGCAAGTCCGGAGGGCGGAACAGCTGCGCCTCCAGAAGGCGGAGCAAGACGAGACTTTGAGGAGGCTCGTTCATGATAATGCTGACGCCGCAAGGCAAATGGCGAGATTGGAGGAGAGCCCTCGGCAGGCAGAGCAGAAACTGGAGGCCGCCAAAGTAGAGACTAGAGCCGAGGGCAGGGCCGAGGCCGAGAAGGCAGCTGCTGAGGCTGCAAAGAAAGCTGCCGACGAGGCCGAGGCGGTCAAGGAGGTGGCCATCGCAAAGGCCCAGGAGGAAGCTGTTGCTGCCTTCGTTGCTGAGGGTTGGAAGGCCGAGGGGTACAATCAGTGGTTGTCCTCGGCCGTAGGGGCATCAGTGGATGAGTGGTGCGAGGGCCCTGACGTAGAGTGGTTGGCCCGAAAGGGCAAGGAATATTATGATGGGGGCGAGTTCTTCACTCATGCCCTCATCTACCGGAGGATGGCCCGACACCTGAAGATTGAGCCGAAGGATTTTGATCCGGCGGCATATGGCCTCCCGCCTTTGCAGCCAGATGTTCGTGTCCCTCTTCCCCCAGATGTCGAGAGGCCTGATCTTGAAGATTCCATGCTGATGGCCGAGGCTGAGGACGACCAAGTAGGGACCGAAGGGGACGTCACTTCCAAGCCGGTTGAAGAGGGTGCCGATGAGGTAGCCGATATCTGATTTCGTGCTTAGGAAATCTCGAACAATCTTTGTAAAAACATTCTACAGCCTTCGGCTGATGTGTCAAACACCTTTTTTTGAATATTCCTTTTGTGAATGGATGCTTGCCTTCGGGCTTTTGTATATAATTTGCTTTTATCTTTGAATGTATGCCTTCGTCTTTTCTTTGTGAATGAATGCCCTCGTACTCCAATGTTTGGGTTGTCAGTTATTTTTGGACTTAGGAAATTTTTCTAAGTGTTTTTTTTATCTAGCCTTCGGTTGTGTGGCCCCTTCTGGCTGCATGGATATTTGACCGAGGACCAAATATTTAGGACTTAAAAATTTTTCTAAGCGTAGTTCTTCCACCAAGCCTTCGGTTGTGTGGCCCCTCTGGCTGCATGGATATTTGGCCGAGGGTCAAATATTTAGGACTTAGAAATTTTTTCTAAGTGTAATTCTTCCACCAAGCCTTCGGTTGTGTGCCCCCTGGCTGCATGGATATTTGGCCGAGGGTCAAATATTTAGGACTTAGATTTTATTTTAAGTGTAGTTCCTCCACCAAGCCTTCGGTCTACGCCTTCCCTTAGTTGCATTGAATGGTTTGGCCTTCGTTGCATGATGGGTTGGCTGAGGGACAACCATTTAGGACTTAGAACATTTTCCATAATTCATGGTGAATAGACCCTTCGATTTGTAGTATCATGAGTAAGAGATCCCTCGGTGAAGGGTGGTGGTCCCGGAGGCACCCAACTTTCAGAACAATTTCCTTTGGCTTGTAAGACTGGCCTCCGGTGATGTGTGAGGAGCCTTCGGATTTTAGTAGATCCTAAAGTGTGTACTTTAGGATTTTACGCTCCCACCAAGGCATGATAAGATGAATACTCTCGGGCGAAGTTCGGGAGAGTCCCCTCAGTGTTTGGGTGAAATGCTGGGGGCGATAGCTGCTTGGACTTGGCCAATACTTGATAACATTTGTCTTGAATCGTTGATGAGTGGACTTAGCCAATTTTATCCCTTCTAAGGGAGTAGATCCCTCGGTGTCAGTGACCCCAGAGGTAGCCAGAAAGTGGACTTAGCCATTTCTTGATGATATTTGTTGAGTATTAACCTTCGGGGACCGGGCATCATCAAAGGTGTTCAATGAATAAGAACCTTCAGTTACCGGAAGTGTTCCACTAGGGAAGCCTTCAGTATGTTGAAATTTTTTATAATGCCGAAGGGCGTTCTGATGTGAACTGTTGGAGTTGTGTACTCATTGATTTCTCGTTGAGTCTACTCCACTTCACCCCACTTTTTTTTGGGTAATGAAGGGAAAGCTTCAAGAAACTTGGTTTCTTGGTAAGGCTTGGCCTATCGGGAGGCAACAACATACACCATTAGCTCCCCCCTCGGGTTAACCTTCTGAGTTCCGAGGGGATCAAGGGTCGTTTCCTAGATATGAGACCTAGTCTGTAGCCTGCCTCCCCTTGGGGGATGGCACGGAAAGCGCCTCAGTTTTGAAAGTCGTTCCCTGGGCACGAGACATAGTCTGTGGCCTGCTATACCCTTGGGGTAATGGCGCGGGAAGCGTTTCGTTTTTGAAAGTCGAATCCTGGGCATATTAGTTGCCTGCCATACCCTTGGGGTAGTGGCGCGGAAAGCGTTTCGTTTTTTGAAAGTCGAATCCTAGGCATATTAGTTGCCTGCCATACCCTTGGGGTAATGGCGCGGAAAGCGTTTCAAGGAAGGGTTTTCATCTGCACACTGGTTGCAAATGGACAGGGGCACTACGTGCTGCCGGCACCGATAGGTGGCACCTTCGGTATAAATGCGTCCTCGAGGGGTACGACTTCAGAAACAACACTTGACGTTTGTTTCAAAAGGAAACACTTGGTGTTTTCTGCTGTCTCGAGTTGATAGGAGTACTCACCCTCGGCACTTGGTACCGAGGGGTCTTCTTAAAACACTTGGTGTTTTTCTTTATTTGTCGTAGGTGTTTGGAGTGTCAACCCTCTGCATTTGGTGTCGAGGGGTCCTGCAATAAGGCCTTGGGCCAGGAATTTGAATGAGGGCTTGGCCGCTCATATGTGTCTTGTTTCTTGTTCTTGGTGTCTTTAATATGTCTTCAAATTTGAAGGCCTTGGGTCGTAGAATAATACATTCATTAGTTATGAGGGCTTGGCCGCTCCAACATTACTGATAAAATTTTACTAGATGGTGTACATTCCAATGTCGGGGGACCTCGGTCCCGTTGGGACGTTTGAGCTTGTAAGTTCCCGGTTTGATGATGGCTACAACGATGTACGGGTCCTCAAATTTGGGTGCCATTTTACCCCCCCTCGGTTGGCTGGCTTGCTTCTCTTCGTCGTAGGACATAATCCCCCACTTGGAATTCTCGAGAGCGGACTTTGGCGTCGATGTAGCTTTTGATTTGCCTTCGGTAGTTTTCCGCTCGTATGAAGGCTTGCTCTCGGCGTTCTGAGATGAGGTGAAGGTCGAGGGCCATGTTAGCGTCGTTGACTTCAGGATCATATTGGGCTACCCTTCGGGTAGGAAGGGTCACTTCACTGGGAGCTTTAGCTTCAATTCCATATCACAGGGAGAAGGGTGTTTCACCTGTTGCTCGCCGAGGGGTGGTGCGATAAGCCCATAGGATATTGTGGAGTTCTTCTACCCAGTCTCCCCCTTCGGCCTCCAGCTTCTTTTTGAGACCCTCAAGTAATGTCCGATTGGCATTCTCCACTTGACCGTTGCCTTGGGGGTAAGCAACGGAGGAGAAGGTGTGCTTGATGCCCCATGCCTCTAGGAGGGCACATAAGGGGGCTGCCTCAAATTGGGTCCCATTGTCAGAGATGATTTGTTGGGGGACACCAAACCTTGTGAGAATGTTCTTTAGGACAAAGTGGCGACACCTGGCCTCAGTAATGCTGGCTAGGGGCTCAGCCTCCACCCACTTGGTGAAGTAGTCAATGGCAACGATGATGTACCGGTTGTTGGAGGTACCCCTCAGCAGTGGGCCCACAAGGTCTATGCCCCATCTAGCGAAGAGTATGGATGTGCTGATGGGGACATAGTTGACCGCTGGCCTGTCGGGAGCCTTCTGGAAGTGTTGACATGCATTACACCTTCGGGCGAGATCCGCACAATCTCGGGCCATCGTAGGCCAGAAGTAGCCCTGGATTATGAGCCTTCGGGACATGGAGAAGGGTCCATGATGAGCCGAACAAGTGCCACTGTGCACTTCCTCCATTGCCACTTCGGCTTCATTTTGATGAAGGCACCGGAGCAACGTACCATTGTAAGATCGTTTGTAGAGCCTTCCGTCCTCGATGGTGTAACTTGGAGCCCTCAGCTTCGTTAACTTAGCGCGGGACTCATCCTCCGGTAGTTGCCCGGTGGTGATGAAGGTGATGATGTCTGAGATCCAGTCCTCTTGCCTTTGTTGAATTTGCATGACGGGGCTGGCGTGTATGCTTGAGAGGCTGAGCTCTTCTATCCTTGCAATTTTGGAAAGGTGCTCGGGAGATTCATCCGAGAGTTTTGATAAAATATCGGCCTCAGAATTTTGAGCCCTCGGTATTTGGGTGAGAGAGTGTGCCTCAAACACCTTGAGCAATTCTTTAGCCGCCTCCTTGTACTGTTACATCCTCCCTTCCTTGGCCTCATACTCCCCAGAGATTTGACCCACGACAAGCTTGGAGTCACACTTAACGTGGATCATTCTGGCCTTCATATTTGCTGCCAACCGAAGGCCACAGAGGAGGGTCTCATATTCTGTTTCGTTGTTGGAGACTTTGAAGGAGAAACGGATGGCATAATAGGCCCGGAAGCCTTCGGGAGTAATGAGGACTCCTCCTCCTCCGCATGCTTTGGTGGCTGAGGAGCCATCGGTATAAAGGGTCCACCACTCATCCGAAGGTGCCGAGGGCTCCTCATCCACTGCTGATCTGGCCGTGCACTCCGTCACGAAGTTTGCGAGGGCTTGGCCCTTTATGACAGGCCTCGGACGGATGTCGATGTTGTATTGGCTGAGGAAGATAGCCCATTTTACCATGCGGGAGGAGCTGGTGAGACTCATCATCAAGGCGCCGAGGGGTTGATGCGTGAGGACCTGGACTGGATGGGCCTGAAAGTAATGGTCGAGCTTCTTCACAGTCCAAACAATAGCCACCATTGTTTTCTCCACAGGTGAATACCGGAGTTCCGCTTCCCTGAGGGTCTTGCTAACATAGAAGATGGCATGTTGGACGCCACTTTCTTCCCGGATGAGTACTGAGCTGATGGCTGCCGGGCTAACACCAAGGTAAAGGTACAGGGTTTCCCCTACCTTGGGTTTGGAGAGCACAGTGGGTGAAGATAAGTACCGTTTCAGTTCCTCGAAGGCCTCCTGACACTCTGAAGTCCACCGGAAGCCGCCGGTTTTCCTCTAGATTTGGAAGAAGGGTAAGGACTTTTCCGCCGACTTGGACAGGAAGCGGTTGAGGGCTGTCAGGCGGCCTGTCAGTTGTTGAACCTCCCTCACATTACGTGGGGGCTCCATGTTGATGATGGCCTGAATCTTCTCGGGGTTGGCCTTGATACCCCTTCGGCTCACCATGTAGCCTAAGAATTTGCCTCCTTGCACGCCGAAGGTGCACTTCTTCGGGTTTAGACGAAGGTTGAATTTTTGCATGATGGCGAAGATATCCCTGAGGTCGTCAGCATGGCTTGTTGATTGCGTGCTTTTGACAATCATGTCGTCAACATATGCCTCCATGGTGCGCCCTAGGACGGCCTGAAATACCCTGGCCACCATCCAGGTGTAAGTGGCGCCTGAGTTTTTCAGGCCGAAGGCCATGACAAGGTAGCAGAAGATGCCCTCGGGAGTCATGAAGGCTGTTTTTTTGGCGTCTTCCCCGTGCATGAAAATTTGATGGTACCCTCAGAAGGCATCGAGGAAGGACATGATTTCGCACCCCGCAGTCTCATCCACTAGTTGATTAATGTTTGGCAAGGGGAAGAGGTCCATAGGGCATGCCTTATTCAGATCCGTGTAGTCCACACACATGCGGAAGGTGGGAGGATTTTGTGTGAGGACTACGTTAGCCAGCCATGAGTGGTATTTTACATCCTTGATGTGCTTGATGGATAGGAGCATGGCGACCTCCTTCTTCACAAAATCCCTCCTCTCGGCCGCAAGGGGTCTTCTTCGCTGTTGTATAGGTTTGACCGAAGGGTCCACCGAGATGCGGTGGGTGATGACCCTTTGACTGATTCCGAGCATATCCTCCAGCCCCCATGCAAAAACAATGGAGTAGACGCGGAGGGCTTCAGTTATGCCGGTCTTCAGGTCTTCGGGGAGCTTGGCTCCAATCTTCACAACCCTCTCCGGCTTGGCCGGATCGAGTGCAAAGTCTTCTACTTCCTCGGCGGGCTCAGCCCTCGGCCTTTTCTCTTCTTCCTCTACGGTTCCGGTGATGGTGGTAACGCGGAACTCGGTCTTACTAACCTTCTTTGTCACTTGAAGGTAGCAAGCGCGGGCAAGTTTTGATTCCCCCTTGAGTACCCGATGCCTCCTTCGGCAGGAAACTTGAGGCACAGATGCCTCATGGAGATGATGGCTTCGAGGTCCTCAAGGGCCGGCCTGTCGAGAATGATGTTGTGAGCGCAGTCGATGTTGACGACGACGAACTCCACTTCGAGTTTGGCTCTATGGAGCCCATCGTCGAATAGTACCGGGAGGGTAATGACCCCCTCGGAATCGATGGTGTCTCTGGTGAAGCCGGCGAGAGGGGTCTTGATGGGCTGAAGGGACCCCCTCTCCAGATGCAGCTCTCTGAACGTGCTGAGGTACATCACATTGACGGAGCTGCCCGTGTCAATGTAAGTTCGGTGGATGATGGTGTCATCGATCTCCGTACGGATGACGAGGGCATCCTTGTGCGGAGAGGAAGCCGGGGGGAGATCGGCGTTGGTGAAGGTGATGGGTTCCTCCCTCAGCCGCTTTACCGGGGGCATATGAGTGACTTCCCCCACGTATAGCGATTGAGCCCACTTCTTCCGCTGACTGGTGGAGTCCCCTCCTGTGTTGCCTCCAACGATCATATGGATGTAGCGCTTTTTCTCCTGGTATTGGTCGTGCCCCTCCTCATCGAGGTTTCCAATCTCCCTCTTCTTACCCTTTGGCTCGCCGAGGGGGATGGTGTTTGGGTTGACCCACGCGATTACTTTCTTAGGGGGTCCCTGGTAGTGAGGGGTCCCCTGAGGCGGAGGGCCTCTGATGATTTGGGACAGGTGGCCTGCCTGTATCAATCTTTCAATGGCCGTCTTCAGCTGATGGCAGTTGTCGGTGTTGTGCCCTTAGTTGCGGTGGAATCGACAGTAAGGATAATTGGGGTTGATGTCGTATACCTCCAGGGGTGCGCGAGAGTCGCGCTCCACAAGGCCCCTCTCCTCGGCGAAATCTAGGATGACACTGACGGGGTGCGTCAAGGGAGTCCATGGGTGCTCCAAAAGAATGGGCTGGGCCCAAGCCTTCGGGTTTCCCTTGTAACCTCCCCCGGGCTTGGCTTGGCCATGCCGGGGGCGATCATTGGGGGGTGCGGAGACCTTGGATTGATTATGGGGAGCCCCTGGCCCCCGGTTACCCTTGTCATCTGACCGAGGGCGTTGCTGATCGAGGTTGTGATGGCACTTTTCCACCTCCTCGGCCTCGACGTACCCGTCCCCCGCTACAGGGCCCTTATGTAATCGCGGGGAGGTTCGATAATGAGGCTCCTTGAAAAGTTCCCGGGGCGAAGGACTGTTTGAAGGAGGACCAGGAGGGTCCCATCGTCAGCACCATCAACTTTGTCAGCCTCCGTCCTCCAGCGTTCCAAGAAGTCCCGAAGGATCTCCTCCTTCATTTGTCTCACCGTCAGCAAGTGAGAGAAATGTTTTCTTGACCGGCGCCTTCCTACAAATTGCGTCAAGAAGCGTTGTGCGAGTTCTTGCCATGAATCGATGCAGCCTTCGGGCAGTCGGTTGAACCATTCGTACATCAGTCCCTCCAAGGTGGAGAGGAACCAACGACACAAATATTCATCCGATGCCCCCACCATCATCATGCTGTTTTGGTAGTGGCTGTAATGTTCCTGAGGGTCCGTCTTTCCTTCATAGGGCCTGATGGGTTGCCCCCGGTATTTTTCCGGAATTCGGGCCACCAATACCCTTGGGGTAAATGGCATCCTAGTCCGGAGTTGGATGACAGGTTCCTCGGAGCCTTCGGCTATTTTCTTCTGCATTTCCTCCATTTTGGCCAACATGGCCTCATATTTGGGATCCGCCTGGGGGGTGGCGGCGGGGGTATGTACCCGATGGGCCTCCATCTCATCAAGCCGGTGTTGGAGGGCCGCAATGACTTCGTCCCTAGGATCCTTCGAGAGGGCCTTCGCCCCCTGCGAACGAACACGGGCCGAGTGGGCCTGATTGATTTGGTGCCTGGCATCATCGGCATGAAGTGGTGCCTTGCCTTTGTCCCGAGGAGGACGCCTTTCATTTGCCCTGGAGACGGATCCACCACTTTCCTGAGGTCTTTGGAACGCCTTCCCCCCGAGGCGGTCTTGGACCCCTCGACGGTCTTGCGCCCCTCCGAGCCTCACGAGGGCGGAGGTCCGGGGCCCTTCTTTACCACGCTGGTCCCGGGATTGAACCTCCTGGGAGGCGGTGTCTTGAGCCACGACCCCTTCGTCGTTCCCCACCCGAGGGGTAGGGTTCACGAAGGGGGGTGGTCGTGGGAGAAGAACAGCGTTCTCCCCGACTTGCGGTTGAAGGGGTACCAGAGTGCCGAAGGCACTTGGGTTTTGAGTGAGTGTCTGGATGAAGGCAGAGAATGCCGATTGTACGTCGATAGTGATAACCAGAGGGCTCACTTGATTTTCGCTCCGGTCCCTCCTTCGGGTTTCGATGCCGAGGCGGGCATCGTGAGCGTTTTGTTGGAGCTGAAGGCGCAGGTCAACAACAGCCTGTTCCAACTCAGTGATGACCCCGCCCTCGGTCAGATTGTTGTCCTCAAGGTTCTTGGACTGAGCACATGTGGTTCTTCCCATTTTAGTAGGTGTTTTTTAGCTGAAGGGGAGGTTTTCTTACTTGATTGTTCGACCTCTCAACGAGAGCACCAAATGATGGATAAGTGTACCCGAGGGTATCTATCCGAGGGGTTACTGCGGGGAATAACTAGAGAGAAGTCAGAGCAAAAGTAAGAGAGAGAATATATATTGCTGAGAATGCGTTGAGTGTATTGAGCCTGAATTACAAATGGGGAAAGAAGTGCTATTTATAGTAGTAATAAATGCCGGATAGGGACACGTATCATCATTCTGGTGGTCGAGGGGTCAACTCAGCGGGGTGGCACTGGCGCTCGCATGTGGCCGCATTAAATGCGGTGGTTGGATGTGACGTTTGTACTTGGTACGTTGATCCGGCGCATGTGGGTGAGAGATTCTGTCGAGGAGATGCCTTCGGCCGTAGATGATTGGCCGAAGGCTCTTCATACCGAGGGCTCTAGGTGCCGAGGACTACCGTTTCGCTGCTCTCTCCCGGACACTCTGAGTACTTTAAAGAAGCTGTATTGTGCGTTTATAAGCCTTCGGCCAAAAGTCCGAAGGCACACCAGTGTTCGTCGCGAGTTGTTTGGCACTTGGGGCGCCGTAATTTGGGCCTGCCATGCTTCCTGGGCCTGTTGGGCCTTCGCTAAAGTAGTGAGAGTCTATGGATCGGGAGTTCCTGGGCCATATACTCCATCATAATTTTTTTAAAACACTTTTTTATTTATGCACAATAAATAATTATAGTGGGTCAAATGTGGATTTTGCATTACTTTTTCAAATTAAATAAATTAATAAAGGTGAGATATATAAAAAATAAGGGGAGAGGGTGTAAAATTTTTAAGTAACCTAGGTAACCATAGTTGGGGAAAATGTGTTAGATTAAAGGAGATTAAGTTTTTGGAGGGAAGTGATCTGGAAAAGAGAATGGAGACCCAAAATGTGTTAGATCAAAACTCACCGCCTTAGTGGATGCTCTAAGTTGGACACTTCACTATCTATTAAAAAGTGGGAGTACTTATTATCAGTATGCACGGCCCAACTTGAGAAAAGGAGGCCTTCACCAGAAATCTTCTTTAGGAGATCCCTGAATATATAAATAAGCGCAGCAGCGACGCAGGGGTAAGCTGGACAGCGACTCAGCGAGCGGCAGACCAGGACACAAAGTCCGTTCGAAGCTCTTCAATAGCTAAATATAGACCGGTGATTTTCTTCAGCGTGAGTCATCAGAGATTGAGCGCAACGATTAATACTCTTGCACAATTCTGGTTTGATACACTGGAGATTTCTTTGTTCTGCTCGTTATTCTGATTTTTAATTGTTTCAATATACAAGACTTTGTCAAATAGAGGTTGGACACAATTGCTTAGTGTTAACCGTGAGCATGAATCAAGTGAACTTTCTTTTCCCTTCAGTTTCAATAATTCGCAATTGTGATACGAGTAGTTATTTTTTTTTAAGTCCTGGATTATGATAAAGTTTATATGATTTAGTATGAAATTGTGGTTTTAGTTATTGCAATTGGTTGAATTTTATCCTTAATTTCTGGCCAACTTTAGTATTATTAATTAAGTTGTTTGAGTTTGAGTGTATTAACAGAGTACATGTCATGCCTATTAGTTTTAGCTCTTTTGGATACAAAATAGATAATTTAATTGTCTTTATAGGTTGTCTATTTGGTTCTTAAATCGGGTTTCCGTAGTTCTTTTGTGATTAATGGATTTTAACTATTTAATTATCAATTTTTATTGATTAATAGTTAAACTGTTAAAGTACGTGATTTACTCTGGATTTCATACGGGATAGTCATATTTCTTCCTAGAATGAACCCTCAATTTTAATTGACTAACTAAATCGTAAATACTAAAAATTAGTGACAAAATCATAATCTTGGACTATCTTTTCTTGCTAATTCTCAATCACTTTCCCGTTTGTTGTTTAATCGCTTTATTTTTATTCATTTAAATTCATTACATCCATTTAATTCAATTTTTACGTTTTCAGTTTCAAATCAAAACATTATCAAAACTTTGCTTTAGTTAATTTAATTTCATTTTTATTTAACTATTTTCCCATTACTTGGTTATTTTATCCCTTTGGATTTGACCCTTGAGCACTATACTACCGTGACTCGTGCACTTGCGAGGACTTGAAAATTGTCTATCATTTCTCCTGATCCATTACCGTTTCTTCAGACTATTTTTCAGCAGGGGGGCGGGGGTTTCAGGGTAGGAAATTAAACAGTGAGTTCACAGACTGCTTGATGGGCATGCTGTTTTGATTTGTGGTGTTTCATTTCTTTCTTGCAATTGTCTTTTTCTAGCATTATGCATGAGTCTTCATATGAAGCTTTCAAAATTATTGCATCTCTGCGTGGTGGATGATACTGATTGAATAACTACAATTTCAATTAATGAGTTATTCTGATTAGATTTATTATAGTGTATACAGTTGATTTGAGCACTGATTTTGTATGGAATATAGTCATTTTCATTTTCATTTTCATTTACCCTAGTGCCACAAAGGCTCCCACCTACGGTGGGGTAAGGGGGGGTCGGATGTACGCAGTCTTACCCCTGTACTAAAGCACAGAGAGACTGTTTTCGGATGACCCATAGTGAAAAACCTGTCCAAAATTGCATGGACTGACTGCTGCTTCATAACTAAGAAGCGCAGACAGTTTAGTGAGCCATTTTGCTTTATTCCATCATAATTTCAAGCCAAAAAATAATGAATCTTTGGCTCCATTGCAAATGATGGAAATGCGTATGGAATATAGTATAGTGACTAAATCAAGTTGGTTGATTCTGTCGAGTTTAGTGCATCAGCTGTATTAAAGAATACCAAAAATGAAAGTTTCTTATGGAAGTGAGTGTAATTGCTAGTTTAACTTGCAGACACAATGTTCAATATTTGGTAAGTTGCTGGCTGGTAGAGGCTTTTATATAAGTATACCTCCTGATTGATCGTCGGACCAGGGGTGGCTGGAATCCACCGAGAATAAGAGAGGAAAAGGAGAGAGTGAACTGGTTTGCAAGTCTCACAGTATGAAATTCGGAGTGCGATTAATTAAAACTCAAGCATCCAAAAATTAACCCCTTTCCACAAGTTGGAAGGTGACATTTATGCTAAGGAGAAAGGGAAATACTTGGTGCCCAAGTAAAAAGATACTAGTCTAATAGGAGAGAGGCACGTGTAAAGCTACTCTAACAAACTACCAGACTAAATGAACCGGGAGCAGCCACGTGGAAAGCTGATTGGAGAGAGAGCTTCTGATAGCTGGCTGATTGATTATTCCTCTAACAGAATTCCTGCCAAAGATTTCGTGTAGCTGTGTGCAGATAATCCGGTATATTCAATCAGTGCGGAGAGTGACGTGGCGATGTTTCCTTATGAATCAAGCCCTTGCGGATTTCGCCTAAGTACATGGTGCTTTTCTCCCAACCTCGAAGGTTACTGAGGTCGATATCTGGGAGCTCGGGCCTATGTTGAGAGGACTCGTCCTGTTGTCTTCTGTTCTTGCTTTGGAGGTGGTTTGACTGCCTGGTGCTTCGATTGACGTTGACCTAGAGTAAGACTTCTGAGGTCAGACCTGGTGCCGACCTCGGATGTCTCGAGGTCGGGCTCATGAATCGTCGAGTTTGGTTGACTCCTGAGCTCGATAATTTCCTGACCTTGGGGTCGGGGTCGGTTGACTCCGTTATCTGCTGAGTTTACTTTATTCCTGAGCTTGATGTTTCCCGACCTCGTTGGTCGGGGTCGAGGTCGGATCCAGATGTGGACTTAGTATTTTCTTGCCTCTGATGAACCCGCAAAGCTCTCTATCGGCGGTCGTGATACCCCTGGGGTATACTAGAATATAATCCATCACCTCCGGTGTGAAGCACATCATTGAAGTATTGAATTGTTGTGATTTGATTCATTTACTAACGTTCAGTCTTGCGCCCTCATTGGCATGCCACATTGGCGACTCAGTTCAGTTTTTAAATTTATACCAAAACTAGATATGAATACAACTGTTTGTTGCTTTGTTAGGTCACATGCTCATCATTTCATTTATCATTTTCATTTACCCCAGTGCCGCAAAGGCTCCCACCTACGGTGGGGTAAGGGGGCTCGGATGTACGCAGTCTTAACCCATGTACTAAAGCACAGAGAGACTGTTTCTGGACTGACTGCTGCTCCATAACGAAGAAGCGCAGACAGTTTAGTGAGCCATTTTGCTTTATTCCATCATAATCTCAAGCCAAAAAATAATGAATCTTCGGCTCCATTGCAAATGATGGAAAAATTAGGTCACATGCTCATATAGAAACTTTTTGTCTAAGCTAAAAGTATAAATTGCCATCAGCATGAATGGTTTGGTTGTCGCCACAAATGACCTAACTGATTTTTTGGTTGCATTTGGTAAAAGATCCCTGAGCTAGAGCACCACTAGAATTGGGCAAAATATCAGCATCATGGATGTCATCTCCCATTCAGAAAACAAAGAGAAGGGCACCGTATGGACGAATTCAAAGCGGAACTTGAACATAACAAGAAGCGCAGAAAGTGATAATATTCCTCAAGGAGTTCAGCTTGAAGGATGTCTAAAAAAGAGGTGCCATGATGATGATCCTCTGGAAGCGAGAGAATCGTCCCATTTAGAGAGGCCTTGTATTATGCCACTTCTACCCCTCTGCGGCTCGAAGACATCAGTAACCTTGAGTGGAACAGCTTCTAAAGGAGCAACCGGACCGCCTATCGGAACCTTGGACATTGGTCTCAGCATACCTGCATACTACTTCCGTATTGCTCTACCTGGAGTTAAAAAGGACCTTGGTTTGTCTGTTACTTCTCATTCTAATCTACCTTTTTGTTGCTTCCTATATCCTATATGATGTGCTGTACATAGTTTTCCAGGAAATTATTACACTACACCATTGACAAGTTCATTTAGAGTGCATTTGGGAAGACCTGTCTTCAAAGGATAAGTGCTTTTTATAGGAAAATGGTACTTCTTTAAAAAGAGACACATTTGAGAAGGACATGAGAGAAGGTTATTTTAATTCTATAAAAAAGGTTTTTCATAAACATTAGGACAATGCATATAACTAAAGTTACTATAGTCACTCAAGTACAAATAATTAAATAGTGCTCCCTCCGTACCACTAAGATTGTCCCATTTTTCCTTTTTGATCCGTCCATTGTGATAAAAGTAGCTAAGTGATTGAATTGATAAACATCAAGCACCATGAAATAGTATAACCAAAGCTCATTGCACAATGTGATGGGGCATCATATCTTAGTTATATGGGACCATTAGGCCTGCATTAGAGCCTGGTTGTTTGGATGTACTTCTGTTGATGTGATTTTATTTGGTCAGAAGCGCTTTTAGCGATGATTTCAGAAACACTTTTAAAGAATTAAAAAGCACTTCACAGTGCTTTGGGAAGTAGCACGTGTAGGGCTTCGATACTTTTGAAAAGTACTTTCCAAAGAAGTGCTCCATACTCTTCTAAGATCAATACATTGGTGTTTTTAAACTAAAATAATTCTATAGTTAAAAGATTGATGATTCTCAATCCTTATTTTTACTTCATTTAAAACAACAAGTGTTATGTGGTTTTATCTGTTTCAAAAGTCAATCAATGACTTTGACTGATTGATGAGGATGATACATTATTTTTTTCTAAGATAAACGTCTTGGCTCTTTGCTTTAGGTGAGTTCAGCTGTGAAATTGAACGTGAAGGGAAGGTCCATATCCGTGGGGTGACTTCGACCAGTGAAAATATATTGTCAAGGCATTCTCGGCTGTTTGAAATGAAATTTCAGGAGCAGTGCCCTCCTGGGGCTTTCACTATGTCTTTTAGCTTGCCCGGGCCGGTTGATCCAAGGTTAATTGCACCCAACTTCAGATCTGATGGCATTTTTGAAGCTGTTGTTATGAAATACGAAGCATAACAAACCCACATTCTAGGTCGTTGATGGCCAGTGTTATCATGAACGAACTAGATCGATGGGTAGATAATGTGCTTTTTTGCTCATCACCGTGGGAACATGAGTTGCTGTGAACTTTGATGAGTTTTTTCTTAAATTGTTACTATGGTAAAATCATGGATAAAAATTGACTAAAGTTACTATGAGTACATTTATAGTTACTTTGATGTTAGATTTAAATATAATTGTAGCCATTAATGATTACTAAAATCGTTTTTTATCCACTGCTTATTTTTAGGGTCCTATAGGACTTCAAGATTTTTACTAAAATCCTATAGGTCTTATCTTTAGGAGTCGTTTACCTGAATAAGATTATTATATTTTTCTCATTTAAAATATGAGTAATTACTTTCATCCTGATGCTTGAAGTCATTCAAGCATATTGAGTTGCATCTCATCAAGTGGAGGAGCTGGGGACGGGCATGAAGGGGCAAAGTGATTAATTTTAGATTAAGTGTGAAAATAAAAGGCAAAATCTTTCATTAAATGTACATGTCTCTAAGAATACAAATATTGATTGCACCATACCACACTCGTTTGAATGCAAGTGTGCATTGTTTTAGACCTTTAATGACACACAAGTTAGCTTTTTGTGGTTATATTGAGCATGAAAGTATTGAGTTTGATGAATATGTTGTCACGATTCTTGCAACGAAAAGATCAAAACATTCTCGATACTGTGTTGGATTCCCTCCTTAGTGGAGAAATTCATGAGAATATTATAATTTACAGATATTTCTCTAAGATTCTCTATATGTCATATGTGTGTAGAGAAGCATTGAATGTTATAGAATAATAATGTGGAGTTTTCTAGAGAAGTGTGGAACTCACAAAAATTGTGTGGAAGTGTGTGAAAGCCTTTATAACATTTTGAAGAATTGTGAAGTTCTCTAAATCCTTCAAGAAGATTAGAGAAGCTTCTGGATACCTTTTGGAAGAATCTAGATGTGTAGTGGTGTATAAATAAGTCTAAAGAAGTTTTGATGTGATTAGTATATGGAAGTTTCCTATTTTTATGAGAATCTTGAGAAGAGCTCCTGAGTAAGGAAATCGAGAGCCTTCTTGTGAATGAAAAAGATTCAAAGATAACGCTAGGGATGGATTCGGTTCGGGCCACCCGGCCCGTGACCCGGCCCGGTACTGTGCGGGCCCGGGACCGGGTATGGGCCCGAACCGGTGGGAAGGGGCGGGCTCAGTTCAACATTTTTGTGACCCGGCCTGGCCGGGTCGGGCCCGGGCCCGGGTCCGGTTCAATTTTTAAATTTTTTTTTTTGGTTTGGGCTCCTACTAGCCGTTGGTGGTGGGGCTGGGGACAACCCAAACGCCTATATAGCCGTTGGGTGGGGTAAAGGGGGGTCCGGGGGGATGGGTGGTGGGGGGGGGTGGGGGGTAAAAAAACCTATAAATACTCCTAATCTTAAACATTTTTTCATATCTCTTCTCCAATTCTTCCTAAATCCTATTCTTAACTCTCTACTCTCTAATTCTCTTATTCTCCATTCTCCAATATATTATATTTATTATTTATAGTTTATATTAATTATCTACTTATATAAACTATAAATAGATATAAATAGTATTATATTACTTATATTTGTTATCTAATTATATATTACTTATATATTTATTATATCTATTAATATAGTTGGAATTATATCTAATTAATTTGAAGTCATTCTATTACTCCCATCCGAAAGACCGAAAGTCCGAAAGAGGTACGAAATTATTCTATTATTTACACTTATTTAATTACTAGTTAATTAGTATAGTTGGAATTAAATTTTTTTATTAATATAGTTGGAATTACTATTTTTTATTAATGGCTACATTTGACTCTAGTTTAAAAAATATGTTGTACACAAAACTAGTTAATTCACTACTTAATTTGCTATAACTCGAATTAATAGTTAGATAAATAGTTAATTAGTTTTTTTACAATTTTTTATTAATGGCTACATTTGACTCTAGTTTAAAAAATATGTTGTACACAAAACTAGTTAATTCACTACTTAATTTGCTATAACTCGAATTAATAGTTAGATAAATAGTTAATTAGTTTTTTACAATTTTTTATTAATTGCTACATTTGACTCTAGTTTAAAAAATATGTTGTACACAAAACTAGTTAATTCACTACTTAATTTGCTATAACTCGAATTAATAGTTAGATAAATAGTTAATTAGTTTTTTACAATTTTTTATTAATTGCTACATTTGACTCTAGTTTAAAAAATATGTTGTACACAAAACTAGTTAATTCACTACTTAATTTGCTATAACTCGAATTAATAGTTAGATAAATAGTTAATTAGTTTTTTACAATTTTTTATTAATTGCTACATTTGACTCTAGTTTAAAAAATATGTTGTACACAAAATTAGTTAATTCACTACTTAATTTGCTATAACTCGAATTAATAGTTAGATAAATAGTTAATTAGTTTTTACAATTTTTTATTAATTGCTACATTTGACTCTAGTTTAAAAAATATGTTGTACACAAAACTAGTTAATTCACTACTTAATTTGCTATAACTCGAATTAATAGTTAGATAAATAGTTAATTAGTTAATTCACTACATTTTTTAGATGGATCGTCCTAGATATTCGGTTGATATGGGTAACCTCGAGCGCAACCGAACGAACGAGCTTGCGAGGAAGAGATCCCGCAAAGGTAAATCACATATCGGCTCTTCATCTCAAAGTCAAGATGATTTTGATACGGGTTACGTAAGGAGGGATGGGGATGCGATGACCGACGAACAACTAGAACAAGAATTGCACCGACATAATTCCCGCTTTTTTCAAGACCAACCGAGCACCATTGACGAAGAAGAGCTCGAGGACGAGGACGACGATGTGGAGGAAGCAATTCCGGAGAGCCACGACGAGGAGGAGGAGGAGGGTGGCGGCATCCATGACGCCGACCAAGCAGCCTCATCCCAAACAGGTACAAAAAAAAGTAAATCTGAATTAATGGCTTATAATTTTACTAAGTGGAAGGACCCGAACACCGGGAATTGGACCGCAACTTGCAATTGGTGCAAGAAAAACTATAACTTGGGGATTTCCGGCGGATACGGATCCGCCACAAGACACCTTAAGTCCAAACACCCGGTGGAGTATGCAAAATTAGGCGGCGGAACGGGGAAGCAAACGCAAATATCGAGGTTTGCAAATAACTAACAAGCTTTTGGTAATTTCTCATACAATGATGCACAAAATTTGACAGGTATGGCTAACTTACTTGTTGAAGAAAATTTGTCTTATTTGTTTTCTGAAAGTCTTGCTTTTCGTGATTATGCACAAACTTGTTTAAATCCGCAATATAGAGGTTATAGTCGCAAAACGGTTAAGAAAGAAATTTCAAGGCTTTATGGTGCGGAAAAGGTAAGGTTACAAAATTATTTTGCAAACTTTGATGGACGTGTTACTGTATGTTCTGACATATGGGAGGATACTTATCATAATTTACATTATTTGGGTCTGACTGTACATTATATTGATAATGATTGTCATATGCATAAACGTGTTCTTGCTTTCCGTGAATTTAATGATCGTCACACCGCTGAACATATTTATATTTTGATTGAACGTATTTTAATTGAGTATAATTTAATTGATAAGGTGTTTGCTATTGGTTTTGATAATGCTACTAATAATACTGCTGTTATTCCTAGATTGCGTGAATTGTGTGGTTCTACTTCTTTGATGGGTAGATTTTTTCATCAACGATGTGCATGTCATGTTCTAAATTTATGTGTGTAAGATGGTCTAAAAACGTTGGGAGCATCGTTGGAGGTAGTCAAGGGGGGGATTAGACGTATTTGGGGTAATGAACACCTTAGGAAAAAATGACATGATTATTTGATAGAAAGAGGTGAGAGATATGTGGCTTTTCCAAAAGATTTGTCTATTCGTTGGAATAGTACCTATAAGTTAATTGGAGTTCTTCTTAGATATAAACAACATTTTCCTGCTTTTATGAAACAATATGATAACTATATTATAAACTCGGCTGAGATCGACACCTGTGAAAAAATTTGTAATGCTTTGATATATTTTAATAATGCAACTGAAACTTTTAGTCATGTTTATAAACCTACCTCAAACCAATTTATTCGTGAAGCTGTTAATCTCGCCGATGATTTTTCAAATTTTGAGAATGCTGATTATGTGAATTATTTTGCTGGTTTTATGAAGGAAAAGTTTTTAAAATATTATTCACATATTCCGCATATTTATGGTATTGCATTTGTTCTCGATCCTCGTTTTAGACTTGGTTCTTTAGAAGAATGTTTGAATTATTATTATGCTGCTTTTTTTGGTCCATTGCCAATGTATGAGGACAACCCAATTGATCCGAAAAAAGAATACAACGAGGTTAGTGATATATTTTATGCATTATTCAATGAGTTTCATGCACAATATGGCAATGCGCCCCCTCTCCCGACACAAACATCATCTAAAGGAAAATCAATTTTCAAATCTACGTTTGCCAATCTTATTAAAAAAACAAAATCAACTCCCGCTACACAACAAAGCACAATTAATGAGATTTCTTTGTATTTTACTTATGATGTTGATTTTGAAGAAGATGATGATTTTGACGTACTAAACTGGTGGAAGGGAAAAGAAAGAATGTTCCCGGTTTTAGCAAAGATGGCTAAGCAAGTGCTATCAATGCCGGTTTCAACGGTTGCCGTGGAACAAGAATTTAGTTCGGCCGGCAATGTTCTAACACAAACCAGAACGAGGTTGAGCGCTGAATCTCTTGAGATGCTTATATGCTACCACGATTGGTTGAAAGCAGCACGTAGAGCTCAAGAAATTGACATCACTCCATCCCAACACTTTATGGATGAATCTACAGAGGGTGGCTCTACTTATGCCGGAGATTCCGATTAAAAACAATTAAAGTTCCTATTTAATTTTCAAATGTAGTTCCTATTTCATTTCAAATAAATGCACTTGAAGTTTGTTTTTTAATACTTGTATAAAACTATAAAGTATAAAATATAAATTAAAAAAAAATTTACCCGGCCCGCCCCGGCCCGGCGGGTGGCCCGACCCGTGACCCGGGCGGGTGGCCCGGCCCGAACCGGACCTGTCCAACCCTCGGGCCGGTCCCGGGCCCACTATTCTAGAACCGGCGGCCCGACCGGGCCTAGGCCCGGCCCGGACCCGACCCGGTCCGAATCCATCCCTAGATAACGCTTGATGAAGTGTATGTGAT